CAGACAATGTGGTTCATTGAGTTGAATCATGTTGGTTAAGGTGGAGTGCTTTTGAAAATCTATATGATCATATAATGCCAAGGAAATTGAAGGGAAAATTATATGGAGAAATATAAGATCAATAACGCTTTATAGAACAGAATGCTAGGCAATTAAGAAACAATATGTACAAAAATGACCGCAAAAAACTGAGAATGTTATGATGGATGGGGATATACACGAAGAGATAGGATAGAAATGAGTGCATTTACAAGGAGTTTGGAAGTTGCTTCTATTAAGGATAAATTGAGAGGGAATCAATTGATACGTTTTGACTATCCGCCCCAAGTTCAGGTAAAATGAGAAGATCAGAGAACAATTTCCAATAGGAGGCTGGGTCCCAAGTTACTAGTGAGAACCTAAACTTCATTAGAATCTATAGCTACATCTATCCAAATGAATCGATGCCTCAACCTTGATTAACAAATTCTCCCAGAGAACATCCATTAAGAGGTTATCGTGTCATACTAAGCAAGCACTTCATCCTGTAAAAGGCTAGAAATCATGAAACCATAAAACCATAATGGCATGATGACACAAGAATTTACATACAAAGGTCTGAGATTTTTTACGAAATCAAATTCAACTGTTGATGTATACAGAAAAGTGAGAATAAAACAAACATTTTAAAAGCAGCTATGGTGACGTAACATTATACTACCACTACCACTGAATATAAATTCACCTCTGATTGCCTGAGACAAAGGTGCTCTTTGAAACTGAATATTTATTTGAAGGAACGCCAAGCCCATCCAGGAGAACTTCAAGTCCTCCAATGCTTCTGAAATGATTTTGAGCCCGGGGATTTTGAGATAAGGCTGATCTGAGGGTGCCCAGAGTTAGACAGTGGAGAGACAGATCGGTCCATTGTTCTTTCAGATTAAGTCTTCTGATGACCCGCAAAAGCTCTGTAAAGAAACAAAAAGTTAATACAGTTAACATAGCACAAAATAGAGAAGATTTTAAATACCGTGGCTTGAGGCCTTTAATTGCTTTTAATTGGAGGATGATGGCGTTAGCCTTCAGATACCCTTCTAGAAATGAGACACTCACTAGCATGTTTTTAAAACAAAGAGGAGATCTACATCTGCCCCAAGTAAATAAAAGAAGACAGAGGAAGGGAGTAAAGTTACGCTAATGGAGAAGGGCAGAAAATAGTAAATCTACACTCTGCATGTAAAAGGGAAGAAAAATAGTATGGTATACTATACCTAATCATGTAAGCAATGAAGAACTACTTCAACAGAGGGGAAGGATTGAAAGCATTTAAAGTGACAAGCCGACAATACGGAAAGGGATAAAAATCTATTCTGATGACCAAAATTAGTAAAGGATTAAAAATACAACAAGAAAAACTTTATTGGAAAGGTCTGAAACCTACATGTCAAAACACCTAACGAAAAACACAATCTAATTTATAGCAGAAAACTTATACCCGGCCATTAACCAGTCCCCAAAACACCTATGTGCCCCCCAGGTTACTAATGTAAGTACGATCAATATTAACGTACATGCAGCCTTCTTCTGCATATTTAAGCTTCCTCTAGTACGGATTGTACATGCCACAGCATCTGTTTATCCCAAATTCCCAATTATCAATAGTAACTTTACATCCAAATCCTTACTAGTTGTCTCCTCAAGGAAACTGAAAAATGAATAGTGTAAGATAGCCTCTCATCAATTTACAAATTACAACCCAAGTTGCTTGTCATGCCCTACAGCTGACATACAAAAGTAAAATTAGACTCTCGCTGAAGTCCTAAAAGAGAGAATATGGTATCTCCAAATTATGTTCATGAACAACTTTTAAAGAAATAGTCATGCGACTTGCCATAAATCAAAGAGGGTAATGAGGAGAGGGTCTGGAAGAGGGATATGTAAGCTGGTTACAAAAAACTTGCATCATCTCATCTGATAAGCTCATCAAATATTACAGACTGCAAACAACAAGGTGAGGAGCTGGAATTCTCAATACCTTCTTGGATCTTGTAGAGAGGGTGTTTGGGAGGCTTATTGTTAATCAAAATAAACTAGCTTTTCCATATCTACATGTTTGGTACCATCCCAATAAGTTGCTTTTTAAGTCACATTTAGAAAAGTTAAGATTTTCCAACATTTACAACACTAGCTTATAAGCTCGCCTGATTAAGCTAGATTTGATCAAGCAAATAACTATACTACCCACACAATTTTTACCATTAAAGACAGAAACCAACATGGCTTAAAAGCTTCTAAAAATAGCCCCAAACCCAAACACCCTTGTAAGTGTTTTCCACTTAAATAGAGTTTAAATGGAGCACAAGTCAAAATCAAGAAACCTCCAAAAGAATTGACCAAGTGTTTGTGACCAGTAAGAAATTTGACATCTATCCTCTATGAGCTGGGCAAAATTCCCTACTGAAGTAAACAGAATAATGACCTAAATCGTGATAGTCAGGTAGTAGAACGTAAAACCAACCATTTTTCATCATAAGTTCAAAATCAAGCAACAAAAAATTGACTCACGGATTCTATCAGCTGGAGGAAGACTCTAGACAAAAGCCACATGCATGAGTAACCAACTGTAAACCAATAACATTCCTGGAGAGGGTATTATTTCTTCATTATCCCAGTTAATATATAGTGTTCCGCTTTATAAATCTACAACCGCAAACAGACTCAGTGATCAATACCTTCCATAGGATAGGTACTACATAATTAAGACACTTAAAGCAGACCATACCATGATGGAATTAACCGCTTCCAAGAAAAAACAAAACCACGGTGGTGCGAACAGATTTTTTTTTGTGTGTTTGGTGGGTTGGGGTTTGTTTTTTTTCCTTTGGTGTACAGTGCCAATAAAAGAATGTTTAGTTCGTATTATTGAAGCATTCAAAAAAAAAATTTAATATATCCCTTGATCCAAACCTTAGAATATTTACATATAAGAACCATATTGTATGGAACAGTATTTATCCTAACAAATAGCATTATCAAAGAGAAGAATGCAAACAACTATGCCAAAAGAGTACAAGAAGGTAGACGAAATGGATAAAGTTACAATATATGCAAGACAGTAAAAATTGATGAGAGCGTACCTTACCTACTAACCAATTTACACCGCCAGCTTCCATTACCAAGACAACCGACTTCTGCTGCCAATGGAGCCTTTCTTCAGAGGCAGCTTTATTTGCAGTACTAGAAGAAGCCTGAAAAAAAGACTCCCCTGATAGGAAATATTTGCCGACATCTACACATTTTAACTTTTCAAAGTCAACTGAATGCAGTTCCATGAAACTGTACATTACGGAAACCACGTATAGAAGTATCTTCTGCAAAATCCTAGTCTTTTCTACATTTGAATTTGATAATTTTTCATCAATTGAAAGAGTAGCACTCAATGTCTTGAGCTGTACAACTGCAGCTGAAAATATCAAAGTTTCAAAAAATTAGAAGACATGCCTGGAGATAATAAACACAATGGCAATAGAATTGCAAAGATAAAAGGTGCATGGTGGATTCAGATGAAAATTACATCCAAACAAAAAGAGTAAACTTAAGGTATCTGCTTCTAACCAAGAAAACAAAAGTCATCCTTAATGCATTTAAACCACGAGCTGAGAGCTAGCACGTGGAAAAGTGAGAACTACAAGAAGCAACTGTTATAAATTCAGACACTTTCTGCAATAGGAGTCAAGACAGATGTGTTGACATATAGGAAAAGACAATACACATACAGTACAAAGTAATATATCCTCTGTTGCACTTGTGTGATGTCTTCACTTTTTCTTGTGCTACTTCCAATTGTCCATCTATATGACGTGAGCTAGAAAGTGCACGCTAGTAATACCTATATAAATTAACAGCATCTTGAAAATGTTATTAACTTAATAGACTTTTGAAATAATTCTCATGATCGCAACTGTATTTGTTTTTTCATGCAATTTATTTTGTTTTTCTACAGAATCAGTAGATTGGAGATCCTCGATTCTTGTTGTAGAATTAGAAGGTAATACTATGTAACAGAAAGTACAGGCCAACCCAATACAGCGACTCCTTTTAGCAAATTGTACCTTGCTGTCTCTTCTTCTAGATTCTTTAAGACCTAGGAGAACTTGGATTTTCCTCCTTGGTTGCACGTGCAACTGCATTGATCAGAAAATATATATCTATCCTACTGACCAAGGTTCAGAGGCATAGTTTTCTCTTGCTTATGGATATCATTGTCAGGGATTTAGCAGTAACTCAGAGAGCACTGATGTGCTGCTGATAGCTGGTCCAAAAAACTTGCGGATGTCTAGCAGTAGTTGTCTTCCCTAGAACTCCTCACTTCATCTGACACAGGGTTATAAGATGATGTGATGGTGATGGTTATAATTTAATCACCATCCACGTTCTATATCTCAGAATGACGACAAACCAAGTATAAAGGTTCCAAAACTTCCAACTGCTACCAAGCAGAATATTGAGATAGATAACCACATAAGAAACGATGAGACAGGAGATAAATTCATTGTGTGAAATTAGAGTCGGCAAGTTACTTAGGACAGGATGAGGAAGATCGTTTTAGAAGATTTGGAGTTTCAAAGGAATAACAGATTGCACAATAGGTTAGGAATGATATTGATGACATGATGTCTGCTGAGGCTGATATAATGGTGGCTCTTGATTTAGCTGCATGCACAAAAAAAGTTTATGTAGCAGGTTCTAAAGCAGTAAGAAAAGGAGTCAGTATCGTTATCATCTTGACATCTTATAGAGCTACTCTACACCAAAACCACAATGGAAATGCAAAAGAATTCCTAAGAACACACTGATGCATAGATGTGAACCTGGAAAGTTTCTTGGAAGATAAGAGCAGAATTGATTTGACTCAAGCAACCATTCATTCTAGCAAACAGGCTCTGATTTGTATTCGTTATGGTAATATTGAGATGTTATTATTTATTCGTCTTCACAAGATTGTACTATTTATCATTTAAGAAACAAGAAAAGGTGCCTCCACATATAGATGTGCCTACACTTTACAAGCCTTCATATTGTACCCATGTATCACATAATTAGAACCAAATAGGAACATAAAGAATAAGTGAGGTACACTAAAATATTCCTCTAGATTTGAATTCATGCTTATCCAAGAAAGAGTAGTAAAATATTTATTTTTTGTTTTAATAATAAATATTTGAAAAATGAGAAACAGTGCCCTCCAAATGAACATATATTCAATGGTCACTTATTTGTTAAAATGATATCATCTTGCAACAATCCTCCAAGTAAATGAGCAAAAGTCCACTTAAGTGTCATTTAGCGACAATGGCTGAATTCCCATCCAAAAGAAGCTTCACATTTTGTAGTATATAATCATGACGAATGCTAACTCCATGAATTGAACTGAAAGACCACTTTACAAGACTTTGTAAGTTACCAACTGGTCACTTCATTAGACCTAAATTAATGACATAACTTATGTGTGACTTAGGCCAAAAGATTTTTTTTTAAATATTGTGTTGTGCCTGTTGATAAATCAATAGCAAAAATATTTACTCTTCATTTCTGTATAAACATTTGACAAACAAGAAGCATAGTCTCCAAATGAACAGATGGATATACTTAATAAGCCTTTAGAAATTAGCAATGGCAACTTATTTAAAAATAATAATTTAAAGAGATCATCTATTCATCTTGGATGAGTCCTCCAGGCAAAAAAGCAAAAGCTACTCAAGTATCATTTAGTTCCAATTACTGAATTACCATCCAAATAAGCTTCAAGACTTGTATATTGAACCACGAGCAGCTACTAACTCCATGAATCAAGCTTAAAATTTTAAAAAGGATGAAGAGCAACCAAAAAAATATAAACGAGAAGATCTAATAGCAAATGGCATGATAGATGCAAGTTGTGCGACATTATAAGAGGAAAATGACAGGTCTGGAAAGTTTGGCACAAGACAAGAGTACCTTTCAAAAGAGCAGTGACCTTTTGCACCCCTCCGTAGTAACTAAACACTTTGCAATTGTGCATGGAGCGAGTAATGATTGACATGCAGTTCAAAATATCCAGTGCTTCAGTACTAAAATTCAAGCTTGTAGATGGCTCTGAAAGATCAGGATTCACTTGCGATGCATCATTGTTGTTTACTGGAAAAATGTAAGATATTTGACTTAAAAGGTTAACGAAAGGTTCAAATCAGTTTGTTATACACTTACATGTTATATAAAATAATAAAAGAATAAATAACTATAATATAAGAAGCATCATTCCTCGTATAGATTATAGAACAAAAAAGGTGCAGGTTTATCTTCAGATTGTTGGATCCCCCATGTTTGCAAGTTTCACAATTTCAGTCATTAAAGGAAAGTAACAAAACAAAGTTTTGAGTACAAGAAGACATATAGCTCTTTAATAAATATCAAACAAGAAATCATTGATAGAAGAATTAAAAGTTTCAAGTATTGCCTAGAAGAGTGTAAAGACATAATCTAATGCTTGAGGACCAATGGTAGCTTAGAGTATTTTTTTTTTAATATACAAATAAGCAAACATATGACCATTACACCAATGCAGAAGGCAATGGTGCCACGTCAGAGTGTTAACACATGCAAAACAGAGAAAGTCACTTATACTTAACTATATAACAGGTAGACCAATCCAATTAACTTTGAAAACACTGGACAAATGGAGAAATTTTTTTTTTTTAACTGTTAACAGAAAAAATACGAAACAATTGTGCCTTGTAGTGTTTCCTGGATTTTGTTTGATGGCTGAGAATGCTTAGTAACCAAATAACAAATGTTTTGGTTGATTGGGTACGTCATAATTTGGTCCATGGCACTGAAACTGCTTGATAGCAAAAAACTATTTTACTTGATGACAACAAGAACACTACTACTCGAAAAGCAAATGTTTTGATGCATTGCAAACATGCATAAGTTAGTATACAACACACTAAAACTTATTTGTAAACCAAACTAATCTTGCCTATGCATCTATGGTTTATAGATTAACCAGTTTTAACCTGCACTATGCACACTTTAGTGACTTTATGGCTCAAAAAGTTAAAACTCTTTTTAACAGCATATACGCATGAGAACAAAATCAATGGTGAGAAGTTGCAACTAATCAAGTTTCAGAGAAATTTCGGAAAACAAAAGTAGTCCACTTACACTCAGTAACAAGAGTAGTTATCCGGGCAATCTCTTGAACTAGAATAAGAGTAACATCAGAAGGATGTCCATAAGAGCATCCAAGCACAGTATCTTCGGATAATGTTGGTTCCATTTGTAACTGGTCATTATACACAGGCTGCCAATTTTTGTATGTTTGAATAAATTGCAAGAGAAATGCTTGCAGCAGCTTCCTTTTCTCCATCTACAAATGATTATAAAGACAGAAATAATCAATTCGAGGAAAATAAAAGCAACAATGCTACATGGCACAAAATTCAGAAAACTCTACATCGTAATAAAAAAAGGATCCTTTTGACAAACAAACTTTACAAATTAATAAGATATAAAATTTTAAAGAATTAAAAAATACAAAATGTAAGTCCAGAAACAATCAGCTGACCCATAATAGGCACCGGTAAGAGAACAGAAATTAAATCTTCAGGCATCACAGAACATAAATGGACCGAGAATGCCAGATATTGAGCACTTAAGGCTCGGTTGCTTAGACATGGAAAGAAAACTGAAAATGATACCCTACTATAAACATATCAAATGAATTTGATGTGCAGGGAACTGTACATCACAATCACTAGCACATATAGAAGACCGCCAAGAAAAATGGTGACAGAAAATTCCCCCTTACTCTTAAGTTATAACCTAATGTGAGAATCTCTCATTATCATTGCCATGACCTTGTCAGTAATATAGTAGGTAGAGTTAAAAGCATGGGGATCTCATAATTTGCCCTATGCTCGAAGAGTGGAACTTGTTAGATCAGTTTGGATGAGCCTGCACATTAAGTGGACTGGGGTCATTTTCCTTCCAAAGAAAACTCTGCAATCAATTGATAAAATCTGTAGTATTTTTTTCTGGTGGAATAGAGAATGGTGTCACAAGGTGCATTTGATCGCATGGGATAAATCTTGTCTTCCAAGGTCTTGTGGAGGTCTTGGCTTGGTTAAAGCTGAAGATAGGAACAAAGTTTCTATGATCAAAGTGCTATGGTCTATTCATATGAAGTAAGATGTCCTTTGGATTAAATGGTTGCACGAGAACTATCTAAAGCATCACTCTGTGTGAACTGTTCAAGTTGGAAGTGTAGATTCTTGGTTTTGGAGGAAAATTTTGTGTATTAGTGACTGGTTGGTTCACTCATATGGGTCTCAGGATGCTGTTTCGTTGAGTTTTCCCAGGTGGGAGATGGGTGGGAAGATCTGTATAGCATCTATGTTGCAGGACCTTATCTATTAGCAGTGCATTACTTTGACTTGGCCTTTTATTGTGTGGACTAACTTCTCTGTCCCTAAACATTGTTCTATACTGTGGCTTGCAGCTTGGAAGAGGCTGCTACCTCAAGATAGGCTCATTCACTTGCATATTGCTCTTGAACGTGAGTGTATTTTGTGCTCGCAAGCCGCAGAGAATATTGAACATGTCTTCTTTCATTGCCCTTTCTCTGCTCTTGTATGGAAGAAAGTTTGGTGTGATCGAACGTGAGCAAAGACCCTATGTGTTTGTAGGAGGAATTGGCTTCATTTGTTGGTCATATCAGAGGCAGATCTTGCAAGAAGAGGTTTATATCTGCTGCATTTGCAGATACTGTGTATCAAGTATGGCGTGAGAGGAACTATAGAAGATTTCAAAGTAAAAAGAGAAGTGTAAATGTTGCTGTAAGAGATATTAAAGCTGATATTGTTGCCAAGGTGTTGAGTTTTGCAGGTTCCTCCCCAGTTTCGATTTTGGGTTGAGAACTTGTAAGATTTTTTGAGTGTATTGGTCCCTGGGTATGCCTGGGTTTGACTGTGTACATATTTCCTAATGGCTAATGAAAGTATTTCATTTACCTAAAAAAGTTATAACCTAATAACTCCCTCATTAACTGATGATTAAATAACAAGTTGAGAAGGGAAAAAGATAAATTATAATAAACAACATAAATATAAGTTTTGTATATATTAGTTCCTTCAAGTAAATCTTAACCAAAAATTTCTTCCAAAACTTTAATTAATAAAATTATTTAACATCAATTTCGAATCAATGAAGCTAGACATGAAAAAGGACTAAGTGAATGAAGATTAAGATACATAGGTGCCTACAAATCACAGATGGACATGAATGAGTAACTCATAACCAATATTTTGTCCAAGACTCTGACAAGTAAAGTTATTTAACACTAATTTTGAATCAATTGAGATAAACTAAGTGAGTGAAGATTGAGATGAGATTGGCGCCTTCAATAGCGGTATTTGTTGGAACAGCTCACAGATGCAAGAAGCGCATTTGGTAATCCGCCCTATAAATTCGGGATGGTCATTTATGACAAATTCTTAATTAAACATTCCTTCTAAAACTCGGACCACTAAAGTTATCTAGCATCAATTTTGAATCAAACAAGCTACTCATGAAAGGGAGTAACCAAATGAAAATTCAGGTAAGGTTGGTGCCTTCTACTGTTCTACAGCAGTATTTTTAGGACATCTCCCAGATCAAAGAGGGAATTTGGTAATTCAGCAAACTAGGGATGGTCATGAATAACCTACTTGTGGTCAGTTATAAGTTATAATAAAACCACTATTTACCAACTTGGTCATAAATGCAACATTCCCCTGTTCCTGTAAAGCTTTTTAAGTGTAAAATTCAGTTCACGACCTATATGTGAATCGCTGTTAGTGAAGATAACTCGGACCTTTAGAAAGGTCTCAGGTTGAAGAATGATAAATAAAACTGAACCCAAAGCCTTGGTTGTAGGCAATTTTTGGAAAGTGAGACTTATGCAAGATTTTGAACAGGCCTTTGTATTATGCAGTTATCTTTTACATGTTATTGCATATCAAGAGAATTTTCAATTGTTCTTAGCAACATGCATAAATGTAAGTTATCTTCCTCACATCTAAGCTTGGAAATTCTATAAGAATACTCTGCTATCAAAATGTGTAAATTGTCTTTCCGTCTCAAACTAATTGTGTTGTGCATTCTTCTACATTTTCATCAGACTGGTGTAATCTTAAGAATAGTGCCAGCAGTATTATCTCTGTTTTGGCTTTCTTTTATGGAAGAGATGACACTACACCGTCTAAATGGTTACAGGATGGGTTAATTTAGTACTTGCTTTAAGGTAATTGAGTATGACATTTTTGGAATTGGCTTGGAAAGAAGTAGTTAAAGTTATCACTAGGAATATTCAAAAACCAGGAAAGCCTTTTCACCTATTTCAAAGAATATAGGAGTTCCCCTAAATAACTGTCAGGCTCTGGTACTATAAATCTACAAGGAAAACACAAGACTACATATGACATAAAAAATAAGAACACAACATATGCTAGCTGGTGAAGTGATGATGGCGAAAAATTACTTGACTGACCCATTCTTTGTTAGTAAAAAACTAAACAATCTATCTTTTTTTAAACTATCTTTGTCTATGAAGTACGGACACGCATAACATGAAGCCGTGTCGTGTCTGTGTCGGACACACGTGTCGAACACACGTATCCTATGTATTTTTTAGGATTTGTCTCGTGTCGGCGTGTCGGATGGCCGTGTCAGATCCGTGTCCGTGCTACATAGATCTTTGTTACCTAGATAAGAATAAAATAATTCTCAGTTCTACTTTTACTTTAGTTTGTTTCTGCTATATCTAAATTTGTTTTGTTTTATTTATCATCTTGCTTATTTATCATGCTGCTAGAATAAGCAAAAGCAATAGCCTTAAAAATAAAGGTTATACACTTTGATAAAAAGAGAAAATGGAATTAATAATCTTCGAGTTAAATACAACCATCCAACTGCCATAGGAGTATGGTACCTTATCAATAGCATTTTGATAACTTTGCCAAAGTGTATTTAATACCGCTTCTTCGCCGGTATCACTGACAAAAAGCAAAGAATAGAAAGATGTTAAGAGAATCAAACTCTCAACCACAAAATTAAGAAGGAATATCATAATAGGTTCTCTCACAATTCATCATGTTAAGAAAAGAAAGTAAATTAGTTAAACTATAACTATGATTGAGTTCAGATGTGATCCTAATTAAAAAGTTTACAACCTATTCTGAAGAAGGGTTATTTTAAATAATCTGTTTGGATTATGAAAGACTCATAATTTGGACAGTGTTACTTCAGATAAGCCTTGTAAATCATGAAGTGTGGGTGTTTTTTAGGATCAGGAAAAAAATAAGCACTTCTGAAATATGGTGATGGTCATGAACAGGATGATTATTCCTACATTTAGGATACACCACACATGGTATGGAAAGGAAAATGCTTGATTTATTTTATTTTCTGCTCTTTTTCCGCATAGGAAAAGCTAAGCAATAGCCCTTGATGGTGGCTACTTCGTAGTTTAATTACTCCAAATATTAGATTCTGTCATTTTCTGGAGCTCACGCTGTTATTACAGTCCTAATTTATAAATGCATGAATACATATAGGCAAGATCAAGCATTAGTATTTACAGTTTACCAAGCTGTTACCAATAGCATTACTCTCTTTTTAACCGTGTTAACAACTTTAGAGTAATCAAACATGTACGGCTATGTTGTCATATATTCTCAATTCATACAACAAAAATATACAAACAAATAAGTGAAACTAATGTTGACCAATTTAAATTTTCGTATTGGCATCATCTACCTACATGGCTTTCTAACTATAGATATATCTAAAGCACTCAAAATTAGCTTCTTCTATTATGCGGACAGTCTTTCATAATGACTTTCATGTGGATCATGTACCTATATACCTAATCACACAATTGATTGTCTATTCCATTTCTTAGACCTGATCTCTTACCAATGAACTCAACACAATCCGCCAAATAAACCAAGCAACCAAAACTTCAATGGCTATATTTCATTCTAAGTATCCTGATTACACAACTAAACCATTTTGCCTCTCTCATTCTAAAGAGGTGACCCATTATCATTCTAAGTATCCTGATTACACAACTAAACCATTTTGCCTCTCTCATTCTAAAGAGGTGACCCATTATTTTTATTCTCAAAATAAAATGGCGATATTTGATTCTTTTCTTTATTCTCAAAAAAATTGATGAGTCATTTCTTGGTAATGAGAATTATGGACTGCAAAATAACCATTTATGACACAAATAATGAAGTGAGTGACGAGATGACAACCTTTATTTTCCCATTATTGTTGATATCGAGTTGGAAGCTATTGCTTAAATTAAAAGTTAATCGCATTGATGAGTTGTAGTTATAGAAAAGGTTGTCTTACTCATAAACATTATTTGCTAGGCTTTGCATCTTTCATTAATTTAGAGTCAAGCTCCATGAGGTTGTCTTACTCATAAACATTATTTGCTAGGCTTTGCATCTTTCATTAATTTAGAGTCAAGCTCCATTGCAAGTCCCATTGTGATGGTTAGAATACTTGGAAAAATAACAAATGCAGCAACGATGTTTGAAAGCTGGTGCCTAGGCCCACCTAGGTTCCTGTCTACAAATTTGTCATGTCTCATATCCATACCCGTACCAACACCTTTACCCGTACCCATGCTACTTAGGTGTAATGTTATGAGAAAGTTACGATGATCTTGTGGATATACACTAAAAGATAAGAATAAAATAAGTACATTCATAAAACATTGGAGGTTGCTCCTACTGAGGATAAAATGAGAGAAATCGATTGAGATGGTTATATTCAACAAAGACCATTAATGACCATAGTTAGGAGAAGTGATAAAGTTATATTTAACAGGTCAAAGAGGAGCAAAGATATGCGATGAAGGATTCATTGTTGTCGTATCACAAGCTCGTACTCGCCATTTTTCAAAATGCTAGAAGCCTAAATCATGTTTATTACATCAAGTCTTCATTTTCTTGTTTCTTTCATTAAATACACTAGCTAACAATTCCTTCTTCAACTGAGTAATCAGAGAACGGAGAGCATATGTGAGTACCAAAACCGAATTTTCACCGAGGGTGCAGAGAACTTCTCCGCAAAGCCCCATGAACCGCCTTCACCAGCTTGACCACCGGAGGACCGCCGGAGAAAATCGGTGACGCCCTTAACGATATTCATCGCTCGAAAACAATAAAATCAATCATTATTAGGGTTCCTGCAACCAGAAAATTAAGGTGAAAAAAAAATTTAGCTGCGAGTAGAATCGGAGGGAATCAAAGCTGTAGAAAATTACAGAATCCAGGGATCCAGAGATCTGATCGAGTCGAAGAGACGTAAGAAGCTTGAGATTCAGCTTTGAGCAGGGATCGAGAGGGATTGAGTGATTGAGGAGCTGGAATCTGAGGGGAGATTTGGGGATTTTGGGGAGCGGATTAAGATTTGGGGTGGGTTTAATTACCGGGGTTGGGTCCTCAAATTTTACTTTTCTTTTTCATTCTTTTTTCCTTTTTCCTTTTTTCTTTTCTTTTCTTTTTGGATTCTTTCATAAATGCCCCTCTTTAATGAATAAATAGCACGTTTCGTATCCACCGACTTTCCCTATTGAGCACGTAGAAATGTTAGGGGCACACCCAAGTCACACCTCCAACCACACCTCCCCTCTCATTCGCTACATTACTCCGGGCCCCACATGAGTTTTTAAAATTTAAAAACTCATGTGGGGTCCGGAGTACTGTAGCGAATGAGAGGGGAGGTGTGGTTGGAGGTATGGTTTGGGGTGTGCCCCTAACACCACTCTTGAGCATGAGAAGAAGTTGTACGGAATGCTTACAATTATCATCTAGGTGGATGAACAAGATTGATCAGGAAAATGATCCCCACAATTAATAAAGTTTTTATATAGTTTATTTAATTAGTAATATGATATATGAGGGCTCATAGAGTGAAGGAACTCTATTGGTGAATCGTAGGCATCTTATAAAATTTAAGATATATAATATTCAATGGTATTGAACAGAGAATACAGATAAATATCACAAAGGTCCTCTTAACTTTGAACAATTATTAGAAAATCCCCTTAACTTTTGAAATATTAGAAAACAACCTTAATTTTAAGAGTTAGCAGAAAACCCTATTTAACTTTGAGATTTAATAAAAAAAATCCACTTCTAGATAAAACCTCAAAGTTAAAGAGATTTTCTGATAATCTCTTTAAAAATTCTTGGGGAATTTTTCTTAAAAAATTTCTTTAGCTAATCTTATCCTAATTTTGGGCCGTTAATGAATTGGGTGAAGCCCAACTCCAGTCCAGACTTTCATATCCTAACCCATCTCGGCCGAACAAACCGGCCCAACGAAGGAGCGCGTTCTCTATCCTCCGCTCCCCAAATCAAGAATCGAATTAGGGCACAGATTATTCCATCAACAAAGAAGAAGAAGAAGAAGAAGAAATGGGAGGGGATCATGGAGGAGGAGGAGGAGATTTCAGGGCGAAGGTGTGGAGCATGACGGGTGGGCCCTACTGCAGGCCCAAGCACTGGAAGCGCAACACCGCCATCGCCATGTTCGGCGTCTTCCTCGTCTGCATCCCCATCGCCATGAAGTCCGCCGAGCTCGAGGTACTCGCTCAGTTCTCTCTCTCTCTCCCTCCCTCCCTCTCCCTAGGCTCTTGAAATTTACTAGATTTGATTTGATGCAGTGTTAGATCTGTAATAAACTAGTTAGAGCCTTCAATATCCGTCTGCTCAGTGCTTTTTTTTTGGCATTAGAAAAGATAAATCTTTGTTGCTAGCCAGGGGTTTATGTATCAGTACTGGGTGAAATTTGGTTGCAGCCAAGTTTTTTTTTCCCTCCCCTCATAATATTATTGGGATAATTTGGCTTTCGAAGTTGTGTAATTCCTGAATGACTCAAGACGAGGATTTGTCATTATCATCAGTGTTATGATTATTGTTCTGCTATCTAATTTCATGGAACTGGCTATATGAAAAGTGAATCTTGGTTACTTATATCAAGAGAGGAAGTATTATTCTTTTCGAGGATTCAGAAATCTACCCTCGCTGCTTCCCTTAGACTTGGATATAGAGTTGATCCCATCCATTTTTATGTGGCTCGTTCTCTTCGTCCGTTATTATGCTTAAGCGAGTCGTACACCTATTTTTATGCAATGCAATCCACGTAAGCAGCCCATGCTGGCCTAGGTGCTCCCAAGACCTAGGCAGACAGCCTATGTATCACTTTTTAAAACGATGATCTTTAGGTAGACGCAGATGATCTTTCAACTTGCAAGTTGCAAGGTGCTATCAAGTGTTTGATCCCTTATAAGTCTAGCTTAAACCCATGCTCTAATATAAGGTCTTTGCAATAGGCCATGGGTGAAGACTTCAGACTTCCAGACACCTTTGACTTGGAAGGGTTGTCTATAATTATTTTCTTTGTAGTGCATGGGTTGTTTTAAATATTTCATAGTTGATTATGGGGTCTCCAGTTATATAAAAGGAGGTTCTTTTGGTCACAAAGGGGCCCCTTAATGCAATCCTGCTATTATCATGGGGTATTATCATGGCTTAGTGTAGTGGAATTATTTCGGTTGAGTTGGAGGCAATTTGTGTTTTATTGAGTCAGTTTTTGCTCTCTCTTTGTTAGGATGCCATACCTTCAGTTTTAATGGTTTATTGATGTCCAGGTCCTCTATTGAAACTAGTAGTCCTAATAATAGCTAAAGCAGATGGATTTGAAATGCTTAGTCATGCGAAATGATAATTTTCATCCATTTAGAGGGTTGATTGACAAAAGCAAGGAGCTTCTTGAATGTGTAAATATGACCAAGGTTTGTTGGTTTATAGATCTTTACTTTCTGGATCACCACTAACAGCTAATGCAAAGAGATCTGAAAAGACTAGGGCCTTTGACAACCTCCCAAAACGGGACGAGGGGTGATCCTGGTCCCATTTTGATAAGAACTCTATTTGTGAAAAAATGGGCTGGTTTTGACCCAGTTTTTCGTACCCCAAAAAGGACCCAAAACCTGCTTATACTTTTACCCCCCCCCCCCCCCCCCCACCAAATAAAATAAAATAAAAAGTCAAAATGGAACCTGTGTAACTGAAAACTGGCCCAAAATTTTAGTCTATAACAAAAGTAGAGCATGCTTTTATAGGTGGAAACAACCTCATGGGGGATGGAAAGGACTAAAGGAGCTTTCGGTTCACGTATGAGTGACACATTTTAAGATGACCTATGGGAGAGTGACATGTCAGCTCTCTTATCATGACACAATATTCTTTTAAGAGATATTTTTGTTACTAGTAGGTGATATTGTACTGATAATGTAGAATTTTTACTTTAATTTTGCATAATGTGGTTTCCGTGTCAGTGTGATATAACCTGATAATTTCAATTTCTCATGAAGCATGCCAGAGTTTGTTCCCATCATAGAAATTTATATAAGTACATAGCCGCTGATTTATGTTTACAGAAAATTACTGTGGCCAGCGGAATGAATTTAGCGACTTAGAAAGTTTTGGTCTCCCATAGGAATATCTCTATTTCTGAATTCATTTTCATTTAGTACTAATGTAATATTTTATTGTTTCGGTTTCCCTTTTCTTGTATAAAACTGAGCAAGAAGTAGGATATGTCCTATAGTTTTTTTTTGTTTTTTAAATACTGATACCGTGACTAACTTAGTTACAAACTTTCTGTTCATGTGATATGTCGTGCACGATGTATGGCAGAGAATGAATATTATTAATTTTACACATGAGAGCGTGTGACATAGAACTATAGTTCAACGTACTAACAGTAACCTTTTCGGATGCAGCAACGCCCACACCATCCAGTTCGTCCAATCCCTTCACAGCTCTGGTGCAAAAACTTTGGCAACAAAGAATACTGAGCACAATGTTTCGCATTACAAAAGGAAAGGGTATCCTTGCCATGTAATCTTGTCTCGTCGGGTGCTTTCTGCACTCCTGTGTGTTGGTTGAGGATTAGTACTCTTGTCATGTATGTGTGCGCTTTGGAACACTTATTGTGCTTCATGTGATTTTGAACTTGATTATAAATAATCAGTCTTCCTCTGATATGGAAAGGAAGTGAAAGGGCACCTCATTTATTTTTCAGGCTTGGTTCCACTTTCTGTGGCATTGGTGTCCAAGATAGTTTGGGAACTCTGAAACATTTGATTCATATTTTGCCTCCTGTTTCTTGTTTTTGCTCATTCTAGTTCTCAACTTATTATTATTATTTTTCCCAAATGCAATTAAGAATTTGGATGTAAAATTTCAGAAACGTTTCATACACAAGCACTTAAACTCCAATTTTTATGGTTACCAGTTGCGAGATTCAATTCCATCTACTCTTTGTTGAATGCAAGGCGGATTGGTTGAATGCCTAACATCAATTAGGATTACCCTTTCATCTGCTCTTGTTGAAGGCAAGGCGGATTGGCTGAACGCATAACATCAATTGGGATTCAATTTCATCGGATTGGCTATTATTTCTATCTACTTATTTATTTTAATAACCCGAACCGAGATCGAACTCAAGACCGTGAGTAGTGATAATTCTAGACACAGACAAACTATCCACAGTTAAAAAAAAGGTAAATTATGTCATACTAGGTTGTGAAATGAATCTCTGTTATTGTTGAATATTTGGCTTAAGCATCAAAGTCGAAAAGGTAACAACACCACGGCCATCATCGCTCGTTACAAGACGAAAATGTAACTTCGTTAGGTTGCAATACCGTGCCACCTAATCGAAAAGGGTCGAATCACTTATTCTAACTGATGCATAGAGGATTTCCACAATTATCGTAACCAGTATTGCGATAGTAAAAATACTACATTGGCATTATTTTGCCCCTCAAAATTGAATCGACAACAAGAATTAGGTTGAATTAGACCCGCTCCAATTGTCATTCAATTACCAATTGTCATCCCAGCCAACTAGAGAGGGTCAGGTCCGGATCAAGTGCGAGCTTGACATAAACCAATGTCAACGTTGCAAAAATTTCTTCTTTCATCGAGAGAACTGGGCCTCCGGCCACAAAAATAAAAAATAAAAATAAAAATAGAATAGAATTGAATAGAATAAATTAAAAGAGTCACAAGAGATTGTGAATAAATATAGACCACCTCGACATAGAGGCAAAGCACGTGGATAAATATAGTTTCTAGTGTCTTTATCACAGAGTTCTGCTTATTTCCCTTCTCTGCAAGACTTGAGAAGCTTACATGATAAAAGAGTTTTCAAGTCCAATCGGACCAATCATATGAACAAGCAAGCACTAAACATTTTTCCTTTCATATAATTTCCATATTGTGTATTCTACAACTGTTATATGCTTACAATTTTACAAGATGTAACACCAAAAATGCAAAAAAATTTTGCTTACACAACATACCCTCTTAGATCTGAAAGATTGAACCCCAAGCAGTTTGCTTGGGTTGGAAAAATAAAATAGATAATTAGTCATATAATCAAAATGGACCGTCTCAAAAGTGATCTTGAGGTAATTTCTGACTGGAAATTGCCCTCAGTATGTTGAGTTTGACACGACAGTCGATCCTTTTCTTTGTCAATCATCGATATCATGAACCCATGACAAATCTGTAACAAGATAATAGAAATTAAATCACAGTCCATGCTAAAAAATGTTACAAAGGAATTGTTCAAAGCTATAGAGTTTGTACATGACAGCATTGACAGTGAAGCAAATATTCTGAAAGAATAACCTCAATTAAGTCATGCTTATGGATTAATATTCTAAAGCTTCACTCTATCTAAATCTAACAAATCTCAATAGATTGTTTTCGCAGTTGAATACCATCAAGTTTGAACTCACAACCTGCTACCTTCGAGCTCCCGTCTATTGAAGGGACGGAATATTTCCATGTAACTTACAAATGATCTAAGAGCTGGAAGGTATTATAACTTTAAGTGAACTTTTGGAGATACTTTGATGTTAATACTATCATGCTTGGTATCTCAAAGAAATCAGTATACAAAAAGAAATCTCAGGGCCAGGACATTTATCCATAAAGCCATGGAAGTTAAAGAGAAATCAGCTTATGTTAATGGCAGTAAAAGAAAGCTGTTTTTAATGAAAAAACACGATATTTACATTAATGGCAGTGAAAGAAAGCTGTCTTTAATGAAAAAACATGATATTTCATCTGGAATGACGAAATTTCTTTTTTCCCCCCTCTTCTTCTGAAAAAGCACAAGTTCAAATATTAAGTAATTTTTTAACACACCTTGGAGCACTGACTCAACTGCAGCATTTGGGATGAGGAGTCCAACAATGCGCTGATTATCATTTGTGGTTTCGAGACGAACCACTCGTACGCGCTTATGGCTTTGACGAGCCTGTTAGAAGCTCTCAAGGATTAGTATAGAATATTTGCAACACGTGAAATTCCATTAAGAAGCTGCAGATCAAAAGTCCAGGCGCAAAACATTCTGAAGATAATTATTCATCTCCCACAATAATTGCATTATAGCTGAAACTAAGATCTGGGTTCTTAACCTGAAACCAATAAACTTATACTGCCTTCTATGCACTATTAGAAGCGCATATGTCCCACTGAATTTTTTAAATAGGACTAATTTTGAACCTGTCACAGATCTATTATTAAAATGTACTCAGAAAATAACTTTATGTTTGCACACCTGACACCTACAAATATATAACATCGGATATACTTTTAGACTAAAATTTAAACTATATATATTATTTTCTATTGACGTGCTAATAATGTACTCATGTACTTATTTCTTTTTTTTCAGAATTATCATGCCAATGTACGCATGCTATATCATACCTAAATCCCATACCCTGTACAAGTGCAACTTGATAGATCAATTTACCATTTTAGGTTCTTTCATGTGTAATAACCAAAACTATATTTAGATTACTTAATTACACATGTTTAAAAACAAGTGCATATAAAGCATGTTCTCATGTCCAGAGTATGGAGAATTGCCATAGTGGGCATCCCGTGTCTATGTCAGAGAACAACACCCCCGTCCGTATCTTCAAATTATATCATATATGCATAGGGGTTAATTAATATGTTAAAGCTACAAACAAAGTGGAATATAAAATTTCCAAAAACTAAGACATATCATAGCTAGTACACAAGAAAAAAAATGTTGTGTGCGCTATAAATTAACAATATCATGAAAAACATACCAAAAGGATAAAGGAGCACCAACTTGATCTTGTGAATGTTTCAACATCGATTAATAGTGGGTTTAGTTCATTCGTAGAGAAAGGAGGCAAAAGTATCTATTGAATGCTACAATTACTCACAACCTCCATCATTCAAGTATTCAACATTGTTTCAACTTCATGAACAGACATAGAAAACTGAGTTTATGTATCTGATACCAGTTACATAAATTCGCTTGTGATAAAATGATTTTCTAGTGCTTATGTCTGTAGGCACTCTCAGGTCCCTCCTTGTGTAAATACTTACGATATATGACCAGGTTGTGTCCCTAAATTCAAACATACACTGGGCTAACATCATATTACAATGTTGATACCTTCCTTTAATTTTCCAATTTTCCTTACAACTTATGAGTCTCAAGGGATCAGGATAGGCTCGGGTCATTCAACACCTTTTGGATCAGACCTAGAGACAGATGACGAACCAAATACCAAAACTACATCATGGATCGAGTTGGATATGTATTTGTATACAAATGTGTTATTTGCTTCTTTCTTTCTTTTTTGTCAGATATAAAACTCAATTACGTCTATATTCTAGAATATTTTTAATGAGTTTCCAAATTTGCATACATAAGGAGTTAGAGAAGTTGAACTGCTAAAGCCACTCACTATCCTGATTTGCAAGGTACATCGTAATATTTAAAAGGATGAATGTCTAAATGATGTACTTAACTTATCCTTCAAACCATAATTAGCAATCCTAAAGCATGCCGCCTTAGATTTATCAAACTAAGATTTAATTTGACTGTAGTTATTTTATTTATTAACACAATTACAATTTTAGTGAGATTCAATTGTCATTCTATTACGCAATAAAGTAACAACATTCCATACCCACACTAATATCCGATGTTACAACGACAAAGCCTCTAACCCAATTTTTTGAATCTTAATTCTTCCATTTAGTTAGATTAAACAACTATCATAACCTTCTTAATTCTTCCAACCAAGTTATTTTGGGCCTACCTCTAGTCGTCCTCACTCCAGCAATTACTAAGTTTATTCTCCTAATTGGCACATTTAGTGGTCTTTGTTGCACATGGTCAAAACACAGCAATCTCAAACTTCATACGAATACACACATATAATCCTATCTTTTACCGTATATTTACCAAATCATCGTAACATTATCATTTCTGATTAACTCATTCTTTCCACATGTTGTCCCCGAATTGCTCATTAAAGCATTACAGGCCTTACAGCTGTCTTATAAACTTTTCTTCAACTTAATAAGTATTATACGATCAGATATGATTTCAGAAGCACTCCTTCACTTAACTATCATGATTTCATTCAATAAACCACATCTTCTCACCATCTTGATGAATGACTGATCCAAATAGCAAAAGGTCATTACTAAGATGGTAAAATAATACACCTGCTTAGAGAGGGCCTTTTCTATTGTCCCCCAGACAGGAAGAGTGAGGCCACCCAGCACATTGACTTCTTGTAACCTTCGGCCAACTGTACAATAGCTGCCAACTTTACATTTGGGCCCATGCATGCACTGCATTAAAAAAGATATTAACCGTGAGGATAAATAGGTACTAACACAGAAGAACACGATGTACAGTGGTAAGGTAAGAGATGGAATACAGCTTAAAAATTTTACATGAAGACAGCAGTTACCAGGAAGGAAACGTTTTCTGTATTATCCATGCTAAATGGCTTATTAGGAATGTTTATCATCTGCATGTGATGTAAATAATTTGGTTTTGCAAATTTAACAAAGCACTGCATCTGAATATATCAATATAGGTTTATTTAACACCTATGGCTTACCTCAGTTATTTAAAAAAGCAAGGCATCCGCTAGATATAATCTAACAATCCCTACATTTAAACTCTTTATACTAAATAAAAATACTCCAATCCCTCTATTTTAACTAAGTATGAAACAACTATTTATCATTAGTTTCCAATTAGACTCTTCACCACTATAACTCAGCAAAAATTTCCATTAAAAATGCTCAATAATTTCTTACAAGCACAAGAATATGTAATGTGGTCTTCAGCTGATAAAAAATAAATAAATTCAAACCCTAAGAAAACACTTTATCTATGTTTCCAAAAGACAAGTTCATCAAAGATCCTTACCTACCTAACCTCTGATTCTTATGTGTGTCAATCCAAGATTATCAAACATATTTATTGTGGTATTGCCAGGCTATCTACACTGGCAAGGGTCTAATTTTTATTTAACACACATAAAAATTGCATTATCTAGACCCAATCAAATTCTCTAAGTTTCTGAATAAGCAAGTGGATTATGAGATAATAATAAAAGGATTATTCACAATCAAATTCTGATCATTCAAAATTAAATAAAAGAAGAAAAACTCACATAGAAATGGAAACAAATAGTGAAGCCGAATAAAGAATGCTACCTGTTTTGAAGAAGATTCATATTCATCCAGCCAACCTTTGTTGGCCTTTTCAATTGAAGATACCTTTCTATACTTACTTTTGAGCTCAGTTAAAGGCATTTCCCTAGAGAACAGAGAAGAAATGATAGGCTTTAAAAAAATTTGGATATTGGTGCAATAACGAGTACAAGATTAGAAAGTACCTTAGCACCTCCCCAATAGCTGGTCTAACTACTTTGAACAGCCCAATGTCTGAGCTGTAGCACCAGATGATGAAAAATCAGAGAAAGATGTAAGCTGAACAATAACTTCAAAATGAATAAAAATGAACTGAAATGCTTAATGCATATGAATACCAACACAGTTATTAGTGAGCTGACGATCAGAAAATGTAGGCATCATGTTTGAGAGGCAAACTATGTAAATCATTTAGCCTTGTAGCTTATGTTATGCCTCATACATGAAGACAGTTACTTTAAAAACATCACCACTTCCCTATACTCTTATTATATGAAGTCCGCAAAAGAAAGTCAAGAAGTCCACAAAAGAGAAAAAAAAATTTAAATCCTATTGGTAGAAGGTGGCATACCCTTCATACGCTAACATGAAGTGCCTCCTGCCCATCCATTCCCTCTTTGACTCATAAAAACCATCAGCTGTACAACTAAGTCCATCCTTCTCCCGTTCATCAAGTAGATTCTTTGCAAACTACAGAAAAATAACAATTATGATTTGAGAAGGATGGCACTGTTGAATTTTTTGTGCACAAATAATTACCTATCTCATGTTAAAAATTGCACACATTACCTCCCAAGTTATTCCTCGGTCAACGGTGAATGAAAATAATACGGTAGAAGCACCTGATAGACTATCAACATGAACAGTCTGTAGAAGGTGATGTCAATAAATCTGTGGAAGAGCCAGAAACTAAATCCATACAATGCATTTTAACAAGACTTACCTTTGGCGGTCCCTGTAATTCAATAATGTTAGCCTTTATGTCAACAATTCCTGAATCAAATTGTCCTTCACTCCGGGCTTTATGAACAATAAGATCAAGGATGCTGATGAAAAGCTCAAAAAGTCTGAAACAAATAATCTTAAGGTCAATACATATTCACAAAGACTACATTATCGACACATTTATTTATCAAACGCATACCTATTTTGAATATCTGGAGGCAAACCTAAAATCCGGTTAAGAAAGCGCCCAACATCATGCATATCAGAATCCACAATACGGCCAGAAAGCTTCCCACTTTCCTTCCCATTGGCTACATCAAGTATACCAAGTACAAAAGATTCTGTATGAGATCTAACAATACATGAATAGTGTATTACATTACAAAATTTACGAAAGTAGGTACTGTATAGCTATACGGCCAACAAAGTTCCCACTTTCCTTTCCGCTACATCAAGTACACCAAATAAAAAGATCATATATGAGATCCAACAATACACAGATAGTGTTCAATACAAAATTCACTAACGCAAGCAAGGGATAACATATACTCTCAGGGGGTAATGTTGCCTGGAAGATGCAAAATAGTCTGCCTCAACCTATTGATGCAAGCAAGCGAACTACCTCCCTCCCTCCTACTTACAAGCGTATATCGTGATATACAGCTTTCCGTAGGAGTTGCTAAAGGATAAAAATTGTCTGCCCCCAAGTATTGGTGCAAACATGTTCAACCTCCGAACTGGTGAATCAGGTGGTCCTAAAATAGACTGCTTTTCATGGGAAGTTGGTTAGAAATAATGAATCAAAATAAAGTTTGGATTCGAAGGCTCACATTATTAAATCCAAGATCAAACGTCTGGATTCCCAGATTAGAAGCAATGTAATTGTGATATGGTAAGTCATATATTTGGTATATGTTGATCCATGGGTGCAAATCAAAGTCATACGATTCTCAGTCTACTTAGATACCATATATCATATTTAAATGGTTGGACCTTAAATTTAAATGCTACAACATACTGATTTCAGTTAATATGATTTGAAGTAAATCCTCAATAGCACCACCATCCCACAAACAACAGACACACAAATACACTGCAGCACATACTTCCAATCAATAAAGCTATAGTTCAAATACCAGTGGCAGGACATCTACCCACCACGTGACATTCACACAAGAAAACAAGCAGATGTGCTTACACACAGCAATCTTGAACCTGTCAGTAACTAGCAGTAGTAAGATTCATCTCTTTAAAGTATTAGTCTGGCAAAGGAAGACATTATGCGGAACTTACTCACAAATCACATGCTCTTATATTTGTTAGGATTGGAACTACCGAGCCAATTTATGAGTGGAGGATGAGCAAACTTTGAACTGATGAAACTCTTTCTACAAAGATTAAGGAGCTTTACATTGTAAATAAATTAGTGAGGATCCACTTACATAGCTTAGATATGTCTCATACAGACACAATAGTGTAAGGTTGTAGAGTTGAAGCTATAAGAACAGCTAGGACGAGGAGCGTAACATTGGTCAGTAATAAGAGGTGGGATGCTTGTTAATTTAACATCAGAGATGGCTTCCAACAAACTAAATCGAGGAAAAGGATTAAGGTAGGTAGCACACTCCAAAGATTGGGAAAAAAGCGTATGTTT